GTTAACTAGCTGGTTAACTAGCAGCCTGTGACGCCCAGTCCGGCGGCCATCGTTGTCCGGAGCCAGTTAGCAGCAGTTAGCAGCGAGAAACACCGGGGGTTAGGCTTTACCCTCCAAAATAAAAGCACTTTACCCACAACACGTCAGCGGTGGAAAGTAGATTTATCTTTACTTTATTCTATTTTATTCATTTCTGTTCTGTTCTTATTATTGTATTTTGGTATTTATGATGTTTATAGTTCAGCTATTATGTTGCTTTGTCTGTCAAAGCACTTTGTAATTTAAAAAAGGTGCTAAATTATTATTATTTCTGTTATTTTGAGGTATTTTATTATTTATTTTCACTCCAGTTCAGAGGAATATTACTTATATAACTTTTTATTACATACATTATACAATTGCAGACAAATCAAGCATTAAGTTAATATTATTAATAAATTACTGTACTTGTAATCTGAGGTACTTTATTTCCATTTTGTGCTATTTTATTATTTATTTTTACTCCATTTCAGAAGGAGAAATATAAGATATAATACTTTTTACTTCATAAATCTTACAGTTGCAGTTACAAATAAGACAAAACTTTTATTTAAGTTATTATCGTTCTTATTATTATTATTTTTAAATTACTTAGTTACTGTACTTGTACGTAGGTACAAATCTGAGCTACTTTGCTTTAGTATTTCCATTTTGTGCCATTTTATTATTTATTTTAATCCACTTCAGAGAAATATTTTACTTTTTACTTATTAGCAACAGATTTAATATTCAACAATTTTATTGAAGCAAAACACCAAAACTGAACAAATATTAGATTCATAAATGTGAATATTTGCTGTTTTTGTTTAGTTTTATTTTCCCTCATTAGGTTTCATGTTGTTTGACTGTCATGGCTCAACTATGAAATTCTTCAATAAAACATATTTCTTAAATAAATGACTGACTCTGAAACCTGTAACAGGAGTTTAATGAAACATTAGAGCTGTAATTTTATATTTTAATGGTTTAAGGGCTACAAGAGGGTCTAAAGGGAGTAATTGTGTAATTATTAAGTAAGTTAGAGTAAGCTAAACGGTAAAGTTTAACATCTTTAAAAACCTTAAAAACTCTCCAACCAACTCCAAAGACAAACAGAAACCATATAAAGTGTATTTAAGATAACTTCTCTATCACAACCTTCTTGTTTTACTGCAAATCTCGTCAAAATCGTTTAAAAACAGCGCACTTTATTTTGAAACCCCAACCGGAAACAGCCTCGTTACGCATTGTGTCCAGCTTCCCGCGGGTGTTTGTGTCACTGTTAGCTTCTCGCTGTCAAACAACTGCCCCACTAACTGCCCCTAACTGCCCCTAACTGCCTCACCTCTTTATCCGGGACCCACTGCGGCTCGTCCAGGGAGAAAGGGCTGTTGAAGGCGCCGTTTTCCGGCACCATGCGAAGGCCGCTCGGGCTCCGGACGAGTTTCTTTCCGTCCGGTACCGAAGACATTTCTCCGCTCTGTACAGGGCAGACTCCTCCCGCCGCCCACCGGGCTGAACACGCCCTCTCCGGGATGATTGACAGGCTGTTTAACCAATCGGAGCACAGGGTTGGGATGACGTGATGCGCTGGGGACGTTGTTTTGATTTTTACAACCTCTACTGTTTTTAATTAATAACTGAAAGCATCCAGTAGATGGAGCTCTTTAATATCTGATTGTTTTATTATTATTGTGAAGAGTTTTGTTTCTTTTAAACAGGCAAAACAATAATTATATCACTTATTTTAGATAGATAGATAGATAGATAGATAGGCATAGGAGTTAGATAGATGTAGGATAGCATAGATAGATAGATAAGATAGAGTAGATAGATAGACTTTAATTTAATCCCTGAAGGGAAATTGGGTCGTTATAGCAGCAAGGTACATTAAAATACAATAAAATACAACAATAGAATAAAATACTTAGATAGAATAAAATACTTAGATAGAAAAGATAAAAAAAGATACATAGGTAGGTAAGGTGCAAAGAGTTGCACACGATGGTAGTGTTATAGAGTTATGTAGTATAGAATGATAATATTAATAATCTTTATAATAATATAATAATAATATGTATATATATATAATATGATGACTTTAGTTATTGAGTTAAATATCTGGGTTCATACAGTTTAATGCATCATCGATAACATATTAATATTAATAAAACACGTCTCTAATATTTATCTGATCTATTCAAAAATAGTTTCACTGGGGGGTCGCGAGGACTTCTTGATTGTAAGGGGTGTAAGAAAACTACAAATATACATAATAATAGTTTAGATTATTATTTAAGATGTAAACTTTAAAGTTATATTCACAGAGCTTTCAGTCTCTGATGAACAGCCTCGTCCAACAGTTATTGAGCAGTTATTGAGTTAAATATGTAGGTTCATACAGTTTAATGCATTGACGATAACATATTAATATTAATAAAACATGTCTCTAATTAAGGGGTCTTCAGTTTAAATGATAGAAAAGGGGTTCCTTAAACTTCCCATGTTCATAAACTTCAGTTTGAGCCCCAGATGAACTTTATATCTAGAAAAT